AATGTTTTTTACTTGGTTGTTATATGTGTTTGTTTATTTTTATTTGCTATTTTCTTGTTTTCTTTTTGTTTTATATGCTAGTTGTTGCAAGTTAATTTTAGTATCTAGAAAACAGAATATTCAATAGAACTGTGACTTAATTTGAAAAAAACTTAATATAACCAGCAATGAATCCAGTGAAGGTTGGGACTTGCATCTCCTCATTTTGGGAAGAGTATGAGCATATTCACGTCTAAGATGAATTACTATATATTGTGTAGAAATGCAGGGGTTTTTTATATGTATAGGAATGCACATGTGTGTAGAGGGTGCATTTAGGAGTTGAGTAACTAAAGGAGTGTACTGCAACAGTTATCAACTTATTGCCTTTCAGCTCTAAATTTATCCTTCATTGCCTTCTCTGCAAAAATGGATACGTGCCCTTCAAATATTTTTCCATTGCCAGTTGACCAAATGTTAAGTATTTTCAACAGGGGGCGCTAGAGAGACATCGCAAAGGAATTTTCCACTCTAGTTTCACTGCACTCAGACTAGCACTGCACTAGTGCTCTTAGCTCCTAAAACACCAAGCTTCTGGAATGTAAGCACAGTGTCAATGGCTTCTCCAGTACCTGGCTCCTGGAGCACCTATGGCTTTCCCAGAGCCCTGTTTCTGTAGCACAAATTGCTTATACAGAACAAGGCTCTTGCAGCATGGACAGCTTCTCTAGCATACAGCTCCTGCAGTACACTGTGGCTAGCAGCACCTATCAGCCAACAACTTCCCCTTTTTTGTAGCAAAGTACTTCTGGTGAGACTTTTCCATGAAGAATTTTTTTCAAAAGTTCTAAAGGGCGTATTTCCAGCAAGTTCTCCTAGAATAGTATCACAGCAGCCTCTCTGGATCTGAGTGAGCTGTGGCTATGCCCTCTCCAGCAGGTCTGGATCACACCCTTAATGGGGTTTCTTCTTTGGACATTCTATCTCCACCCTAGGGGTAGTGGTTGTTTCTTATATCTGCTATTCCTATATCTGTTAGAGATCTATCTAGTTCTTACTAGCCCATCCCTAATTACTCCAATCTACTGTTACAGTTAGTTAATAATTCTTTATATTAAACTTTTTCCTTGCAAGTTACTCTGTGTCCTAGTAGCAATGAGCACACCAGCACCTAGATCTTGGTTTCTAAACACCATTCTACAATAAAAGGTACCAAGACTCCTTTAAAAAATGGTTCATTTTAAGGCTGCAGAAGGAAAAATAAAAAATGAGTCTGGAGTATCTTCTAGCACCAGAAAGTAAGAAAGCACTCAAAATTGAAAGGATGAGTCACGTCAAAGGGATACAATGGGCCAGGCATGGTGGTTTACACTTATAATCTCAGCACTTTGGGAGACTGAGGTGGGTGGATCACCTTAGGTCAGGAGTTCAAGACCATCCTGGGCAACATGGTGAAATCCTGTTTCTACTAAAAAAATTAAAATTAGCCAGGTGTGGTGGCACATGCCTGTAAGCCCAGCTACTCAGAATGCTGAGGAAGGACAATTGCTTGAACTCAGGAGGCAGAGGTTGCAGAGAGCCCAGATCATGCCATTGCACTCCAGCCTGGGTGACAGAGTGAGACTTTGTCTTAAAAAAAAAAAAAAAAAAAAAAAAGAAGGACACCATAGTCAAAGCTGGAACAATCCAAGCAACAAAATAAATTATGTAATACTGTTTTTAACCCAAAATGTCAAATTAATATACATGAGTCCTTACTGATATAAATAAATGTTTGAATAAATGCAGAAGAAACAAATCTTCCTTACAAAAAAATTCAAATAATATAGGTAGATATTCTTTCCTCAAAGACATAGAGCTTGTGTCCTGCCCTTCATCCCTGAAGGTAGGCTGGACTTAGTGCCTTGCTTCCACAGAATAGAGTAGAAGAAGGAGAAAATGGTAACTTTATGTGGAGAAGCCTAGTGTACTACCTTAACCAAGTGATGAAGGTTAACCAAGTAATGACATCAATGATATCACATGGATATCGTAATGAGAAAGGGCATTTCAACTCTGGTATTCTTTTCAAAACTCATAACCCAAGTCTCATCATGAGAAAAATACCAGACAAACCCTGATTGGGGAACATTCTACGGAATACCTGGCCAGTTCTCCTCTAGACTATCAAAGTCATGAAAACAAGGAAAGACTAAGAAACTGTCACAGACCAGAGAAGACAGGGTACACATGACAGTGAAATATAGTGCGTTGCCCTGAACTGGAACCTGAAAGAGAAAGAGGATGTTAGTGGAAAAACTGATAAAATCCAAATAATATCTGCAGTTGATTTAATAGTAATACACTAATGTCAATTTCCCAGTTTTGACAAACTAATGGTCATTTAAAAGGTTAACAGTGGGGGAGACTGAGTTTGAGCACATAGGAGCTCTCTTTGCCACGTTTCTATAAGTCTAAAAGTGTTCCAAAATAAAACAAATTATATTTAAAAAATTTTTTTAAATTACTGTGGTTCCTGTCTCCTGTTGGACCTTAAGTGATACAAGGAGCCAGTCTAATTATCAAGCAATTATTTTATGGTTCTAATGAACACCACCAAATTGATGCAAAACAATAACCAAAGAAGAGGGTACATGGAAATAGAATCCTTAGAAATTAGGCCATTTAAATTCTGCTAAGTAATATTACTAGACCACAGATTTTGGCTCCAGAATTATCTTGTCAAGAGTGAACAAAATGATACATTTCCTGATATTAGGTTGATTGCCACAGACAAAATCCAGGCAGCAAGACCCACATTTTCAGTTCAGCTCAGAATATCATTTTTTTACCTGCTTAAAAAGGTATCAAAAATGGTTTTCTCAGGACACCTTTAAACATTTCGGACAAATTTTGATGTTTATTTATGCTTTTGTTCATCATAAAGCCCAATAATGAGTTGTGAAAAAGAAACTAAAAGTTGCGTCAATATCGTATTTCAGTGTTAAAAGAGTATCTGTTCTCAGAATTCTAGAGTCTCCATTAAACTCCAAAATAAAGGAACGGTTTATTTTCTAGAAGGTCCTAATCAGTTCTAGAGAGTCTGAACCTTACGTAGGCTTTTGTTTTGCTAACACAAACACTCTTCAGTGTGCGCCCTTAGCTCGAGGTAGCCTGCAGTTGGTAGGACACAAAGTATGAATACAACTGAAGTTATTCTGTAGCATTCTTGCCCTGGAATTAGTGGCAAACCACAGAGTTTTAAATGATTAATACACTCACTCTTCCCTATCCCACTAGTTTATAATAATGTTATTTTTCTTCAAGATGTCTAAGCACAGCTGATTTTTAAGCTGGAAAAGTTAATGAAAGCAACATCACATTTGAGGCCAGTCGGCCAGAAAAATGGACATGAGCCAAATCCCATGTCCCAAACATTTCGCCTCAATGGCATGTGAACAAAATGCCCACTCTCCTCCTGATTTCCAACAGAAGCAAAACAAAACCCTGCAAGACAATTTTCCCCTGGAATTGAGAAACCTGACAGGGGCAGAAAGACACACACACACACACACACACACACACATCCAACACACACACACACCCCCAACACACACACACACACACCCCCAACACACACACACCCCCAATACACACACACACATACACGCACACACCCAACACACACACACACACAACACACACACACACCCAATACACACACACACATACACGCACACACCCCCACACACACACACCCAACACACACACACCCAATACACACACACACATACACGCACACACCCAACACACACACACACACACCCAATACATACACATACACGCACACACACACTCCCAGGCCACGTTTAAGGTACAGTAAAAAGGCTCTTTCACACCAACTGTTCTGTAAACAGACAGCACGGGGCTTCCCCTGGAGATGCTGCTTCAAGGAGAGCCAAGAGATCACAAGTCCAAAAAGGTAGTTCTAGCAAGATAAAATATCATCCCCCCAATTCCAAAGTAAGCAAGTAAAAAATTTTAAAATCAGCTTATCTAAATAAGTCCATTCAGACTAATTTCAAAAGATTACTTGGTGGTAACAAAGACAAATTTGTGCTGCCATGAGAACTTGCCAATTTTTTTAAAGTATTATTTTCTTTTTTAAAAAATGTAATGTTTCATGCACTACAATTTAGTTGTGCTTTAATTCCTTCTCACGTTTCTCAAGGCGAGAAAAGAAGTGTAAAAGAACAGGAAGTGGATGCAATTATGTGTACAGCAACAAGTTAACCAGAAGGTTTAGGTTTTAACTGTGAATTTTAGAAAAGCAACTGTATTACAGGACATTCCATCATATAATCTTCATGATAATGAATATGGGATTTTAGGTGTAGACTGCTTTTAGTCCAAAATACCATCATTTTATAATTATAATTTTAACATAATGAAGACAAATTATATACTGTGTTAGGATTTGATTTAACAAGTACCAAAGTGCTCATGAATTTTCATTTATTACAGATATTTCTCCCTAAAGTTACCTGAACAAGTACTCATTATTTGCATCTCAGAATTCAGAGCTAAAAAGATATGTTAGCATCGAAAATACCAATTTTACTTCTGAGTTAAAAACCAACAGGTGGTAAATTTTAATCACCAATAGAGTTTCTTAGAGAAATCAACAGGTAAAAACGGAAGTTAGAATACAATAGCTATGTTACCACCACGGCCTTACTGAGGTAAGGAATCTAGATTGCGGACCCTACTCTGAAAAACGCATTCACATCCACAGAAGTATGAGCTGTTGTATAATTGTTGAAATTTCCTTCTTTCCAAGAACTTTTCTTTATACTCAATTAACAAGTTATGTCTATGTACATGTACAGATTTAAAAGAAACGGTATGACCAAGTTGGACATGGCATTCACTCTGCTCTGTGTAGGGATGAAGAGGGAAAGCATGGCTCAGAGTCATCTGCAGACAAGGAGGCCCCTACAGCAAAAACATCCCAAGACAGACAACGACAGGTGGAAACTTACCACTGGAGCAGTTGGTCCCTCCCCAGCCAGGCTCACACTGACAGGTGTTTGGAGCAATACAGCGACCGTGGACACATTTATCAGCACAGTGGGCTGTCAGAGAGAAAATCAATCAAATAAAGTTGGCACAAGAAAAAAAAAAAGCCAACAACACAGCTGTTGCACATCCAAGTCTCAAGTATCACTTAAAAACAACATGCATGCTTGATAATTTTCTTCAATCCGTTCCTCAGTCCTCTTGCAGTCTGCTGCAGGACCAAACAATTCCCCTTCTTATTTTGATATCACCAAATAAATCCCATCATTTCCACTATTCTATTCTACTTCATGCTAAATTAGAAAAGAAGTTTCAAGGAAAATTGCCAAATTCACTCTTTAAAAAAAAATTATCAATGAGTATCAAATATATCCTTTTTGTTTCAGAGGTAGCCTATGTAGAGAAACAAACCACAGAGCAAGATAACAGGGCCTCAGGGTGACAGAGTAGACGGAGAGTATTATGATTGTGCATTATAATTTTTTTTTACATAATACATTCACCAGAAACAAGAGTCACACTTCGTTGTGAACATGTTATTCACAACTATGACAGCAGAATTGCATGCTCTTTTTCTGTGGACAGTATTTGAAAAATGCCACCCAGGTCCCTGGGAAACAGTAAATCTCAATCCTCTTTCATTAGTAAATATCTTAAGTGTACCAAGCCCTTGGAGGCAAAGGGGCATCACTGCAAACATGAGTGAATGAACAGTCTGATGATTTCCCAAATAGGCATCAAAATATGCTGTGCCAAACCTTAGCATTATCATTCATTTTGGTACCATGCACATTGGTTAAACATTCTTTCAAATATCTGGATATATGCATAATTTTGAGAACAACTTGAAAGAGCTTGGGGCTCAGAAACTCTAAAATTTTATTTAAGGGTGGGATGAAGTGCTCTGTACTTTAAAGATGCATTTTATTAGTGTGTGTCTTATTACAAAAGTAAAACAGGTGTACTGCCTAAATATATAAAACACCAATAAGTAAAATAAGCCATATCTCCAGTAGCACAAACGTAATATTATTGTGCATATAGAATCTTTGGGAATGTTTTTCCTACATAATTTTCTTCTCAAAAAAATAGAATCAACTTTTTTAATGTGCTTTTCCATCTAATATAATGGCAATGATATTTTCATGTCATTATTATTAATATATGTGATTTATGCACTAAGGTGTATATTATATATGTGTATACATACATGCATGCACACACACACAGTGCATATATTGTTGAACGAAAAATGACCACTTCTAAGGTCTTGATCATAAGATTTAGACATGAAGATATATAAGGGAGGGCATTTTAGATGAAGAGAAAGCAAAAGCAACAGGTAAAAAGAAAAACAAATTAAATAAGAAGTTCCGGTTGGGTGCAGTGTTTGGGACAATAGCTTTGCAAGGGAGGGAGAGAGAGAGAGAGAGAGAGAGAGAGAGAGAGAGAGAGACCCTGAAAACCAAGTTAAGGTGTTGGGGCTTTATTCTGAGAATTATCTAGGAATAGTTTAATTAAAGGTATACATTTGTTATAAGAAACCAATAGATAGAGGACACCACAATGAAATAAAGTGGCCATAAATTTTGGAAAATACAAGCTCTCTTGCTATCACCAGAATAACTCTTTAGCATTAGGCAATTTAGTGAGGAATATCAGAACTGGTGAGCTTGGGACCCCGGTCCAGGGTAAAATTTTCTAGAGTTTGAAGGAAGTGCTTAGCAACCTCATAATATTTGAGTCAGACAATTACATATTTAATTGTAATTAAAAGCAGAACTTGCCTGTAACTTATGAACACTCTGTCCCTGCATTATTTTAATTTTTGCTGTGGAGTTAAGTCAGTATGTGCCAAGTTCAGAGTTCAGTGTCTCCTTCCACCTCTAGGGATGTGTTTGAACTTGCAGTGTCATTAATTTGTAAGCACAAGGCTCTGTACTGTTCTTTTGTTAAAATTTAGATAGGTACATACCTAAAGCCAGCAAACTACCATACTTGAATGTGTGAAGTTCAACTAAATACCACAGCAGGCTTGGGTCTAACAGTGTAGGGTATGCTCTGGATGCTGTATCACGCTGTGTTAAATGGCAGCACGGGTACAGAGAACTCTCCCACCAGTGAGAGCTCTGGCACCCACTGTCAATATGTCAATACGAGAGGGTTTTTTCTCTTACTTTTCTTAGGTACTGATGGCTTTTATGTTTGCGACTATTCCAGTGAACAGTCTTCAGACCCAAGTTTACCAACTCTCCTTCTTCAACACATTAAAGCTACTAAAATTCTGTTTGGATATCTCCAGAAGTTTAAAAAATTAGATACTCTTTGCCTTTAATGTGAAACAAGACTTTTTTGACAGTGTGCATTTAAAACAAAACACAGAAATTGACTGTGGTGGCTGATGACAAGAAGTATTCCCCATGTTCTTGAATTTTACATTTTTGCATTTATTTAATAAATTATTCTCACCAGTTAACTTCACACTAAAAAAGTTATAAATTCAAATTCATTTATATGATAAATTTATATTAATACTACTTTGTTTTTATATCTTGGGCATCGATGTAAGATTTCATTTGACAAAAGAATTAATAGTACCATTTGAGAATTTGAAAACTGCTGGATTTCCAAAAAGCTAGAGTCCATCAGAGCAACCTAAAGTTTTGTATTCATCTGGGAATGAGCTGGCCTTGAAGGGAGAATGTTTCCGGTATTCTATGGACAGGTCTCAATTTGCTGCTCTCTCTTTCTTCTCTATCCTTTCATTTTTTTCACTTTTTCTCTTCATTTTCACTTTTTACAACTTATTGTCTTTCCTCACAAACCACTTATTTGATATACACCATAGAAGCTGCAGATTAAAATTTGGTTTTACTTGTAGTTGTGTTGACTCTTAATCCCAGGGTGACTCCAACTGAGTTCCACCTGAATCAATGGGTAAGAAAGGTAAGATTGAGCAAGTTACCCCAGCACTTTTCTCTAACATCAGAATCACATTTACTAGAATACGTAAATAAATGCATGATAAGTGAAGCGTATGTTCCAGAAAAGTAAGAATCAGAATTGCATATGTTTGGATCCCGATCCATTGCTTTTTATTGCTCTTATTTTGTGAACTCCAAAAAAAGATAAGAAGTAAATTTCTTTGTAGAATCAAAGGAGACCTGCTTCATAATGCTTTGAGATTGCTAGATAATCACACAATGGTCTCATGTGTGGTTCCTGATACTGGAAACTTTGTGTTTTATGAAATGAATTCTCAGAAGTTAAGTCAACTATAACAAATTTTTTAAATCTGTGATGATAATTTTAAAATATGGATTATTTTTGTGAAAACCTCTCCAGCTAACATTTGGCCAAAGTCTGAAACAAAATGTGGATGTGTCATTAGCAGAAAACAAATTTGCTTGTAAGTTAATTAGGAATTGGAAGGGGGAATCTGCTTCCCTAATGATTTCTTTTTTCCTAATTAAAGCTAAAACCAATGGAATCACCTCTGAGCATTGATGCCTAAAGGCAAATAATGATCTAAATAATGAGAAATATTGTTGGGATGGAGTCTAAAAGGAAAAAATGCAAAATCCTACTTCCATGATGCAGAATCTTCACATATTAGACTCCGTTATACAAGTGCCATCTCTGCTCTATGCCCTTTTCCACCATCTCTGGGCTCCCCCGACATCCAGCAACTGGCCTCATAAAAGATGGAAAAGAGCAAAGGGAAGCAGCAGAGGACAGAGTAAGCTATAGAACTCTCTATGTTCTCTGACATCCCAACTCACCAAGGTGCAGAAACACCGACTATGGTACATGCATGACACAGACACCCACTCCACCAGCAACAGATTAGCTGAGCTCAATTACTACCTCGGTCTTACCTCCCCTATTCAGCTTCGGATGCCACCCACTCTGGGTGCTGAGCTTCCATGACTAACATGCTCCACATGAAAAACTAATGTCGCCTAAGACATTAATTGTTCATATAGAAAACCCCAAAGTGAACTAGAAAAGAAAAAAGGGAACAGAGGTTCACCTGGCAAATGTTCAGTAGCTGAGCTATAAAGAATAGGTACAAAGGACCCATTATAAGTGCGGCTATTCATGGATGGGAATAGATATTTTATTCCCTACCTGTGTTCCTTTCTTCTTATTTTTAAAAGGGCAATTAAAAATAAGATAAACCTAGCAAAGATAATCTATCCAATATGATATCTGCTCTGCACCCATCTGTAAGAAAATCAGTAAACATCCTACTCTGAGTTTCAATCTTTTTTAGAGGCCAAATATAAGCTGAATCTCACCTGCACTCAGTATGCTGCTTCCTACACAGCAAGCTACGCGGGGCAGCCAAAACATCTTTTCCCTCAAGAACTAGGAGGCAAGAGACACTAATGAGAAGAACAGGCCATGTCTTTGAAGTGAAAGCTGTGGACAGTCTGTCTGCCTGATGGACAGGTGGGCACTGACATGATGACCCTGGAATCTTCTCTAATTAGGCTCCTGTTTCAGCCTTAGTTCCTAAATCCATTTAAATCCCATTACCAATGACATGGACCTCATTCCTTTTACTTGTAAATACTTGGCTTTAATACTGAGAGCCATTAACTATGCTCAATAGTTCTCTCTTCTGCCACATACAATTCCCTTTGGATTTTCACCTAGGAATGGCAAAAAAAGTGAAAAGAAGAGTAGACAAACTAAAGATTTCTTTATAAACCAATCATATAGCTAAAGACAGTACATATCGTTGTCTTAAATAATATATTTATTTAAATTAATATGAAAAATGTTTCCAGAATCAAAATAGCTCTTGAAATCAACTGTCCAATAGAAACACAAAACTTCCAGCTAATCCATCCCCAAAAGTTCCTTTTTATTCTGATGTTTTGACCAAAGAATGTAAGTCACAAATCTTGTTTTCTCTCATTTATTCTATGAGTTGCTACACAGGAATATAGATTTTTAGAGTTAAAGATGCCTTTATTTAGCATCATTCCTGAATTTTTTTAGACAAGAAAATAGATGTTAAAAAATGGATAATTTCCCCAATATTCAT